TCATTACTATAGCATCAGCGACATTACTTTTTAAATATTTTTTTGCCGTTATTACAGCATTATTATTATATATTGTTTAACTTTTTTTTACAGAAGCTACTACACTGCCTCCTAGCGGCGACATTAGCAACTACGTGGTGCGCCGCCTTCCCGCAAGATGTCTCTCACCCTCCTAACTTCAGCGGCTTCAAAGCGCCGTTGTTATTCCCTAACCTGGCGCGTCCTTGGCAAGGTTACCAAAGAACAAGTGATTTTGGAATTTCGCCGGTGAAAGATTTAGGTTATCCGCCCCACAACGAGTTTGAATATCCGCCAGTCAACGGTTTTAACGAATTCGCTGGACTTCCTGAAACGAATTTCCTATCTTCGGATCTTCAGGAGAGAGAAGTCCCGGATGAAGTCAGTCCAGAATCACAGAATACATATAGTAATGAAAACGCAGTTCAGGTTAATTCTGAAAATGTTCCTAACCCGTTTATGTTTGAAGCCCCTCAGTATTCCAGGATTCCTGAAACCATTCCAGATTTTCCCAACCACAACTTTAATAACTTTCCAATTCCTTATGCCTTGGAATACATAGAATCCCTGGCTACAAGAACACCACGATTCCCATTTCCGTATATTCCAGAATTCCCGGTTCCTGCCTCTCCACCTTCCCCCATCATTCCCAATTTCCTCGTTGGAATTCCAGAGCATCTTACCCCAAAGGAGTTGCCACTGAACAATATTCTAGGATTCCCGGTTCCAAATACCCGCGAATTCCAGTTTGATGCCGTGCAGAGATTCCCTGCTCTTAACAATCAAGAATTCCCTCAAACAGTGCCATCATATGTACGTGAATTCCCATTTTGGAATTTCCCGGATTCCCGAGTGTCCCAGTTGTCCATGCAAGTGCTTTTGACTCTCGCCTCCAAATGTTCCAGATTTCACACTTCCGAAAGAATCTGGATTCCCATTTGGCAATACTCCTGGAATCAACAGAATGAATATTCCTGAGTTCTTGGTTCCAAATGTTCCTGATTTTAATGTTCTAAATCCTTCTGCCTTCTTCGTTCCAAACTTCGAGATTCCAAATGTTCCTGAAATTCCTGTATCCAACGCCGCCATTCCCTATGTCCCCGATTTTAATGGTCCAGCTGTTCCTAATTTCGCGGTTCCAAATGTCCGATTTTAATGGTCCGGCTGTTCCCAATTTCGCGGTTCCAAATGTTCCCGATTTTAATGGTCCAGCTGTTCCGAATTTTTCTGTTCCAAATGTCCCAGATTTTACTGGTCCGGCCATCTCAAACGTCCCCTTCTTTAGTGGTCCAGCTTTCCTAACTTCGCCGTTCAACTGTCCCGATTTTAATGGTCCAGCTGTTCCGAATGTCCCCGATTTTAATGGTCCGGCTGTCCCAAACTTCGCTGTTCCAAATGTCCCTGATTTCACTGGTCAAGCAAACTTTGCTGTTCCGAATGTCCCCGATTTTAATGGTCCAGCTGTTATTAACTTTCCAAATGCCCTCGATTTTATTGGTGCAGCCGTCCCAAATATCCCCGATTTTGATGGTCTAGCTGTTCCAAATTTCGCTGTTCCAAATGTCCCTCACTCCGCAGTTCAGAATGGTCACGCAACCCAAACTGGAGAAGAAATCAAGCCGTCGGAACAGCTACTCCTTCTTGACTTTGACCTTCAAAACCCACAACGCCCCAAGGTCACCTCTCGTTACCCGTTCACCTTTTCACCCTTTCCAATAGCCTCCCCAGTAACCCTTTCGATACCAACAGCCAGGTAATCCCCATTAACCCTTTCGATACCAACAGCCAGGTTCCTCCCATTAACCCTTTCGATTTCAATAGCCAGGTAATCCCCTTTAACCCCTTCGTGAATAATGATAACCATTTACCCCCACCTGTCATTAACGCGTTCATGATGAACAGCCAATCACCAAGTCCTTTCATGATCAATAACCAATCACCCAATCCCTTCATGATGAACAGCCAATCACCAAGTCCGTTCATGATCAGTAACCAATCACCCAATCCCTTCATGATGAACATCCTTCCTAATCCTCCCATGGCCAATAACGAATCACCAAGTCCTCTCATGATCAATATGAACCAGTCACCGGCTCCTTTCACGACGAACTTCCAATCACCAAGTTCCCTCATGACCAACCAATCACCTAATCCCTTCATGACCAACAACCAATCCCCCCTAATCCTCGACACCTTCGCACCTCCAATCAACCCCTTCGTTCTCCAAAAAATGCAAGATTCCCCGCCCGTATTTGGAGGACCCCAGATCTTTGACAGCATCCCGTTTCGACCCCAATCTGCCGACGGCTTCGAAACGGAAAGTAGTGAACCTCAGCTAACCAATGGACCGAATCACGTTAACGCCGTCGTGAATCCTCATGCTTCTGAAGCCTTCGAAGCTCCGGATCGCCAGAATGCTGTGGCAGGTCGGGGACTCGACGTCGCAAACCGGAAAATATTTAACGAGGAAATGGAAAAAATCCGAGGTGGGTTAAAGCGGTTTGTTTGATTTTTTTTTTTTTTTTTTTTTTTGCTCTTCTCTGTTTCTTATTTTTGTTTTTCTTTTTTTGTTCTTGTTTCTTCTCCTTTTGTCATCTTCCTTATTCTGCTTCTTGCTTCCTCTCCTTCCATCATCTTCTTTATCTTCTTTTTTCTTTTCTCCTTTCTTTTTCTTCTCCTTCGTCGTAATTATTGTCATTAGTGTTGAAATTATTGTTATAACCATTTGTTATTATCATTACCATTGTCATATTCATCCTTTTCCTTATCATTATCATTATTATCATTGTTGTTGTTGATGCCATTCGTCATCTTAGTGAAAAGTGGTTATACATCATATTCATTTATTACATGAACTACATGATTTACACTTTTCGAATGCAATATATGCATAGAAAAAAATAATGAATTTACGGTAATAGTTTTTTTTATTATTATTATTATTTTTTTTTTTTTTTTTTTTTTTTTTTTTTTTTTTTTTTTTTTTTTTTTTTTTTTTGCTTTCAGGCTACAACCCAGTTCCTGCCACACCGCCAATTACACGAATGGAAGTGGTAAAGGGCCCTTACTATCATTTGGACTTCGATGGTTCCTACAACTCCATTGAACAACCTGTTCCATTCTTTTATTGATAAGAAGGTTTAAAAAGAGGAGAGGGGGCTTTTGGTTCGTAAATCCATCTCTTATGTAGTTAAATGGAATGTATTTTTTTCCTCTTCTGAAATAGGCATGTCAGATAAGTCCATCTCTGTGCAGTTAAATGGAATGTTTTTTTTTTTCTTCTTCTTCTCTGAAATAGGCATGTCATATGTCCATATATGCAGTTAAATGGAATGCATTTTTTCCTTCTCTGAAATAGGCATGCCAAATAAGTCCATCTTAATGCAATTAAGTGGAATGCATTTTTTCCTTCTCTAAAATAGGCATGTCAGATATATATATAGATAGAGATATATAGTTGTCAGTGTAATGACAATTACTTGTAAATACTGAGTTTTAGAGCATTTATCTTTCATCGTTAATCTATTTTTATACTCTTCATTTGCTGTGAATTCTGTTGTAGAATGGGATTATATGTGTGTGTTGTAAAGCACGGTATGGAATCCATTAAAGATATTTCGAAGTTTATTTGTATCTTTTTTTATAACTTATATTCCTTTTCTTCTCTGCTTTTTCTTTCTTTGATTGATTTGTCATAAACAAGACATATTGTTCTGTTATTTTATTATTATTTTTTTTTTTTTAGCTTTATATTTCATCGATTTTGCATATTATTTTTATCTCACAATTTTGGATATTTATCCATTATATTTAATGACTTTTTATTTTTCTATTTGCCAATTAATGTATCTTATCTATCTGTTAGTTCTATTTGTTTTCATGGTTATTACCTTTAACCGTTATTATTGTTTATTTTCATCTGTGTTGTTTTGTTATTATTAATATTGTAATGGTAATATCATTGCTATTATTAGCAGTAGTATCATTCTTATTGTTCTCATTATTATCATCAATATCATGATTCCCAGTATCATCAATTTTTTCTTCTCTTTAATGGATAAACCGAGACAAACTAAAACAAGGAGCCAATCGTACTGGTTTTTCTGCCGGTGTTTGCGTTCGATTCCTTTCTTATATTTCAAGGCAAGAATTCACTGCCACTTATTGGCTCTTGTTTGTATAAGAAAAATCACCGTCTTTTGTTTTTTTCTTTGTCTCTTATTAAGGCTTTTGTTTATAGTTTTTTATATTTTGTTTATATTTTTATATTTTGCTTATATTAAGGCTTTTGTTTATAGTTTTTTATATTTTGTTTATATTTTTTATATTTTTATATTTTTATATTTTGTTTATAGTTATAGTTAGTATCCCTCCGTCTTTTTTTTCTTTGTTTTTATTAAGGCTTTTGTTTATAGTTCGTTTTTGTTTATAGTTATAGTTAGTATCCCTCTGTCTTTTTTTTTTTTTTTGTCTTTTATTAAGGCTTTTATTTAAAGTTTCGACAAGGCGTTTGTAGATAGTGCTTGTAGATGAGGTAGGTATATCGGTAGATGGATTTGTGGTAGATAAGATAGTAGTAGATAAGGTAGGTGGGCACTAGGAGATACAGATGGGAGATAAGATGAAAGAAGGTAGATAGAGGAGATAGGATACTAGAAGGAATATTCATGTAGATTTGACACTAGTAGGTGATTTTTAGGTTGAAAGGACGCTAGTAGACATATGGAGGTAGACATGACACTAGTAGAGAAATTGAGGTACTGATAAACGGACTGAAGTAGATAGGCCACACTAAAGGTAGACAAAATACAGGCAGATAAATGGGGTAGATAAGACACTCGAAGATAAAAGGAGGTAGAAGAAAACCAGTAGACAAATTAAGGTAGACAACACACACTAGCAGACAAAATGAAAGTAGAGAGAGCAAAGGTAGACAAATAAAGGTAGACAGGACCCCAGTAAACAAGTCAAGATAGAAAAGA